CCAGCCTATATTGGTAAACTAAAACCCCACCTATGTCTCTTCCTGGTCTGGAAAATAAATGCAGGAAGAGAAACCCAATTTGGCGTTAATTTCCCAAGGAAAGGATCCCTCTCTCTTGAGGGTTCCTGCAGGAGATTAACCACTTCGGGGCCTCTCACTGCTCAGTAGAGATGGACTTTGAGTAATACTTTTCATCTCCATCACCCAGGGGAAGTGGGGTGACAAATCCATGGGGGGTGAAGTAATGCAAAGCAACAGTAAGCAATAAATTTCATTTTTCTTTATAAAACACCCATTTTCAGGTATTTCATTATAGACAGCAGAAACAGACTAATACAGCATATTAGTGTATTTTGTCATAAACAACAGAAACAAATAATGTATTAGTCCGTTTTTGTTGCTTATGACAAAATACCTGAAAGTGGGTGATTATTATAAAGAAAAACAAAATTTATTGCTTATAGTTTCTGCGACTGGGAAGTCCAAAGCCCATCTGGTGGTAGCAACAGTGACCCAGGGGTCTCACATTGCAAGATGGTGGAAGTAGAGAGAGCAGGGGGAGAAAGAGAGACAGACTCTCCTCTTCTTTTAAAGCCCTCAGAACCACACCCCTGACCATCATTTTTAATCCATTCACTACTGCACAATCCTACAGTCCAATCATGTCTTCAAGGCCCCACCTTTCAATAAGCATAATAGGATTTCCCACCCTCTTAACAGTCACAGTGGGGGCTAAATTTCTAATACATAAAACTTGGGGGACACAATTCAAGCTTTCAGGGAGTTTTGGGGGGACATAATTCAATCCACCACATACAGCAACTAATTACACTATGGTACTGGCATAAAGATAGACCAGAAAGAAACATTCACATTTATACTCAACTGATTTTTGACAAGGTTGCCAAGACAATTAAATAGGAAGACTTTAAATAGGAAGTCTTTTTAACAAATTGTGTGGGAACAACGGGGTATCCACATGAAAAAAAATGAAGTTACACCCTTACCACATATTATATACAAAAATAAACTCCAAATGGATCAAAGACCTAAATGTAAGAACTAAAACTATGAAACTCTTAGAAGAAAACATAGATGTAAATCATCATGACTTGCATTAGGCATGGTTTCTTAGATATGACATCAAAAGCAAAATCAACAACAGCAAAAATAGATAAACTGGACATTACCAAAACTAAAAACATTTGTCCTTCAAAGAACACCATCAAAAAAATGAAAAGACAAAACCACATAACGGGGAAAAAAATTTGCAAATCATATATCTGATAAGGAACTCATGTCTAGAATACTTAAAGAACTCTTACAACTCAACAATAAAAAGACAAACCACTCAATTAAAAACTAGGCAAAGGATCTGAATGGACATTTCTCTAGAGAAGATATGCCTTTGTTTGATAGCACATGAGAAGATTCTCAACATCATTAGCCATCGGGGAAATACAAATAAAAACCATAGTATAATACCACATCATATCCATTAGGATGGCTATTATCAAAGTCACATAATAAGTGATGGCAAGGATGTGAAAAAATTGGAACCCTCATACATTGCTAGTGAAAATGTAAAATCGTGCAGCTACTTTGGGAAATTGTTTGGCAGCTCCTCAAAAGTTAAAAATATGAATTCAGCAATTTCACTATTAGGTATATACCCCAGAGAAATGAAAACAAACACACAAAAACTTGTATATATGTACAGAATGTTCATAGCAGCATTATTCATTAAGTCGAAACGACCAAAATGTCCATCAACTGATGAATGTATTAATAAAATATTTCATGGCCATATAATGGAATACTATTCCACAATGAAAAAGGCATGAAGTACTGATACATGCCACAACGTGGATAAACTTTGGAAACACTATGCTAAGGAAAAACCAGTCATGAAAGACCACTTACGGCTTGACTCTATTACTGTGAAAGGTCTAAAATAGGCAAATCTATAGAGACAGAATGTAGATTGGTGGTTGCCTAGAGTTCGTCTATTTTTTCTTTCCTTTCCTTTTTTTTTTTTTTTTGGCGACTGGCTGGTACGGAATGATTGCCTAGAGCTGGGAGGAGAGGTTATGGGAAAATAAGGCATGACTGCAAATGAGTATGGGGTTTCTTTGTGGGGTGATGCAAATGTTCTAAAATTGATTGTGGCAATGGTTGCACAACACTGTGAACACACGAAAAACCACTGAATTGTACACCTTATATAGTTGGATTACACGGTATGTGAACCATAGCTCAGGAAAACGGGAACAAAAGGATAAAGGGAGCAAGCCTGAAAGTGTTCCGCTGCCCTGTCCCCCTCCTCCCCACGGCGACGTATTACTTGGGTGCATGTGCGGGGATGTGTGGATGCTGAGTTGTGGGTGTGTGAAGGGCTGTGGAGGAATGTGCGACGCAGAGACCAGAGGTTTGGGCTCTGCTTCCAGGCAGCGCGGGGACACGGGGACGCAGATTCGGCCGCCAGGGGGCGTAGGCAAAACTGGACTGGAGGCAGCCGCGGATGCGGCGGCTGCGGGCGCGTTGGGGACGCGTTCCAGGGGCAGACTCCAGCCCTGGGGACGAGACTTCACTTCCCAGGCTCCTGGCTCCGCCCCTCGCGGCCCCAGCTCCGCCCACCCCGCAGCTGCTTCTGCCTCGAGGCAATACTTCGGGTTTGGATTATTTCTCCAAGTACAAAAGCAGAACTCCGTCATGGAAAGGCAGATCAGCAAGAGGAGAAAAACAATCCCACCACCCCCACTGCGGACCCTTCTGGGTACCTCCTTTCAGACTTTTTTCTGTGCATAGTCCTTTGGGGGCGGTTACATTTCGGAGGCGCTAACAAAAGCCATGCAGAGTATAGTCCAATTTGTATAAAAGCAAGAAAGCTGGTTCTTTTTTCATACGTGTGGCGTTCATTCATTTGTTCAACAAATTACATCTGGAGCGTCTCGGCTCCGGCAGCCCTGATCCAGGTGCCGCGGCTCCAGGGGAACCGAGGAGCCAAGTGCGCAAGCGCGAGGAGGGCGGGGTTGGCAGCCAGTGAGCTCTGCAGGGACTGGAAGGGTTCCTGCTCCCACCGGCGGGGACCTCAGGCCGTGGCAAACTATGGAGTAGACAAGTGACCGGGGCTGCTTTAGACCGGCGGTCAGAGAGGGCCTCCCCAGGAGGTGGTGTCCGCTGGAGGGAGGGTATGAGCTCCGTGGGGGGGAAGGACTGAGGACACCTGAGGCCCGACCTGCTTGAAGGTCCGTAAACAGAGGGGAAGGAGAGAACAGGAAGATACGCCAGATTTGAAATGACCTGGAAGGTCATGGCCAGACCTCCGGACTTCAATTTAAATGCTCCAGGAATCCATGGGGAGGGTGGGGGCCAATTATTAAAAACATATTGTGACACATCTGCGTGTGAGCGTGCATTAAATCAAGGCCAAGAATGAAACGCTGTCGTTGAGAGTGTTCTTTAGCAGACTGTCTCAGAGACGTTGATGACATCATCTGGCCTTGGAACATTACTATTTCTGCGTTGTGTACCTTCATTTTAAAGGATCACTTGTTAACATCTGCACTGAGCTACACAACCACAGTAAGCTCAGTACATAAACACCTCCAAAGTGTTTTGTTTTCAGTCCTTGCTCCTCTCTCTTTATTCTAGACCTTTTTACTTAACTTCTTAATTCTGATTTTTTGTTCTTTGTTTTCCCGAATGCTCCCTTGAGTAATTTTTTCCTCCTTTGCAGCTCTGAAGAAAATGTCTTTCTGTTGTCTTGTCAGGGAGCAGCACTTCGGCCAGGTAGAAAATTCTTAGGTTACGAACTTTGCCCTCAGAGCTCTATAGAACTTCTCCGTATCTGTCAGCCTAGCAGATGATAAAAACCCAGGCCAAAAAACATGAGGAACCACCCGAATGTGCATTCATAAGACTGGATAAATAAATCAGGGGATGGCTACCCAATGGGATACGATACATCCACAAAAAAATAACAAGGAACCTTTTTATGTACCGATAATGTGAAATCTCTACAATACACTAAGTGGAAAGATAAAAAGCAAGGTGCAGAAGGGGTGTATGGTATGCATCCACTTATGTAAAAAACAAAAAGAGGGTGGGAAATATTTCCCCAAGGATAGGAGCATTACTGCTGGTATGCACATAAAATATCTCTGTAAGGATATGTATTCCCTATGGGGGGAAATGAGGTGGTTGGGGGGGGGGGCAAGGGTGCTGGAGACACTTTTCATTGTTTAAAAAAAACTTTTGCATCTACTGGATTTGAACCTTGGGATGTTCTATTGAGAATGTAAATAAAATTCCCTGTGCTCTCCTTTAATTTTGCTTAAAAATCAGAATATCACAAGTAAAAGCACAACAAAGCACTGAAATGCAAATTTGCTTTCTTTTCAGCCTTCCCTCAGGGAGACCCCAATGTTCCCCTTGGGGGAGGAGGGCTGTCAGCCAAGTGACAGTCCCTGTTGTGGATTCTGCTGCACCACATTCTTCTGACCACTACAGAAGCCTCAATCTTAATCTGATCCCAGGCTTTTCTGCTTCCTATGCTTGCAACTCAGGCTCTCCTCAGGCATAGTTACATTTCCCTCCAATCTTGTACCAAACTGGACCATCTCTTTCTGTGTCTTCAGCTCACTGTTTCTTTCCATTTATATTACTTTTCCTCTCCAACACTCTTATATTTATATTGGCTCTTCTGGGTGATGCCTCTTAGCTTTTCTCTCATAATTAACGTTTCTTTCTATTCTTCCTTTGCGTTTTGAGAGACCTCCCATAAGCTTTTCTAATTTTCTGTTTCAGTTCTCTGCTCTGATTTTAAAGCCTCCATGGGGGATTTTGGTGTAGAAATCCTCTTTTCCATCCCCAGGCATTCTTTCTGCTCACAGATGATTTTCTCTTTTTTTTTTTTTTTTTTTTTTGCCTATAAATTTTTTTTTCCTTTAAATTTTTATTTTGTCGATATACAATGTGGTTGATTATTATGGCCCATCACCAAAACTTCCCTCCCTCCTCCCCCCCCCTCCCCCCCCCCCCCCCCCCCCCCCCCC